AATTGAAAATCTGAAGTCAAAACTAAATAAAAATAAAAACTAATGAAAATTGCAAAACTATTAAAACCCTGGTTATAACACCTTGCTTCCACTTTTATGGAGTACATTTTACAGGAAGATGAATCCTCAGAGCTGTGAACCAGAAATCATCTTGTTTCCTGGCTTGTTCTGTGTTTAGACAGCCACGATGATGATGATGTTATCCAAGACTGACAGAAGCTGTAATTTGTGTGTCAGAACAACAGCATGAAGTAAAATGCTGGATGGATCTCATGCGTGCTGCATTGTGTGGTTTTTGGAAGTCAGCTCTGGTCATCAGCCATCAAAAACTGTGATGTTTGTTGAATCATGTGATTTCCACACAGAGAAATCACTTCTGTGTGATGAGTTATGTCTCTGGAACTAAAGCGATTTGAAGTCGACCTCTTCAACGTGTCACGTCAGCACTGAGGCGACACTAATGTCAGAGCAAACCATCCTGAGGGTGGTTGCTGTTTAATGCGCATAACTGGATGGAAAGGGGGCAGCTCTATATAAGGACAAGTCCAAGAGGCCCCTGTTCCCAGATCTGCTCCAAGCTCAGGGCAGAACCCCCACAAAGAACGGATTTTCTTATTACATTAGCGATAACAAACCACCAGGGAGTAAAAGGCAGGTCAGATAGCAGTCAGAGACAAACTGTTTGATTATCCCATCACATCTCGCGCACATCAGTCGACGCTCACCTTGTTTAAAATCCACTGAATTAAGCTCTGTGAATGCTCCTTATTAATCCACCGTGCTTTGTTTGAGCAGACACTGCGTCCCTGTCCTTCAGCGCTTGTACTTTAGATTTCAAACATTTACATAGTGAGAACACTCTGTATTTAAGATAGCTCGTAAAGGGGAGTGCTCCCCGTTTGATAGATATTTGCCCAGAGCTGCATGACTCTGATCTCTGCCTCCTTGGAGTAAAGAGTTCCTGTTTACATTTTTCCTGATAGCCTCATGAAAGGAGGAGTGCCTACAAGGATTTTAATCTCTGTTTTAAGGTTTTCGTTTTCCATCCAGAGCCTGTGCAGTTGTTTTAAAGGGGAATTCTGTGTGTGAGAGCGATGTGGAAAGTAACTCAACTGTTGTGTCCAAACAGACATCTGTCACTTGGTGTGTAAGTAACAGACTTTCCACTCTCACTCACAGTCTCACCTACTGATTTCTGATTATGCAAAGCCAAATTTGTGTGACAGCTACGTCATAATAACCCAGATATCCTAAAGAGGGCTTCAGGAATGCCTCCACAATCTTCAGCACTCTAAGCTTCACCAGACCAGTTGTAAATTTTTAAGTTGTAAACACGCTCGTCTGCTGACAAATTGGCGTTGTTTACAGGAGGATCTGGAGACATGTTCTTATAAGGCTCTACACCAGCG